AGAGTACTCCTTGAATATGTATTTAAGCGAAGTTGAATGTAAAAACGTTGGCTATAAATTTAGCGTGCACTCAGTGCGCGCTGGTGCAAGCGATCGAGTTCGCTACACGGAGAGAATTTTCCGAGGGGGGAAACCGCTGAGGATATTAGGCCTTGCTGGGGTATTGTAAAAATAAAATAAGATAATAAGATAAAGTAATGCCCACTGGGCATTAGTGGGCATTGGTGTACAAGATTTCGGTCAGCTGTTTTCCCCTCGGAATTTTCTCTTAAAATTTATCCTGAAAATTAAGTGATCGTGAAGACAACGTGGCATTTCGAAGAATTTACCTACTGTACATTTTACTAGTAATTTAAAAAACAACCGTACATTTTACTAGTAAACGATCACATAATTTTCAGGATATATTTTAAGAGAAGATTCCGAGGGGGAAAACAGCTGACCGAAATCTTGTACACCAATGCCCACCAATGCCCAGTGGGCATCACTTTATCTTATTATCTTAGTTTATCTGATTTATCTTGGTTTATCTTATTTTATGAAAGTTTCTTGAAATTTTACCGTATATTTTACTAGTGAAATTTTAACATTTTATTAGTAAAATGTACGGTAAAATTTTACTAGCAAAATGTACAGTAAAATTTTAATTAATTTTCAAGAAACTTTCATAAAATTTTACCGTACATTTTACTAATAAAGTGTACGGTAAACTTTTACTGGAAAAATGTGCGGTAAAATTTCAAGAAACTTTCATAAAATTCTTCTAAATTCCGTGTTGTCTCATGATTCATCACATAATTTTCAGGAGAAATTTTAAGAGAAGAATTAAAAAATTCTCTTCATGTGTGAATAATTCTGCTTGGTCAATGATTTTCTATCTCAACTTACATAAGTGAGATCAGAAAATCGTCCACCAATCAGAAAGAAGTGCAGATGGAAACCGTCTCTGTCCGTCTCGCTCTGTCCATTTGCTCCCATTTACGTAGGTATTTCGGTATAATATATTATACATAGAGTTGACCGGATCTACTATTGTGGATGCATCGTTGACGAATCGGTGAGATCGGCGAGATCGGTGTGGGAGTAAAACAAGCTCTTCGGAGACGAGGAACACGACACGAACAAATTGCAAGCGTTTGTGGCTAAGGGGAATAACGTAGGGATAAACATTCGCGATCCGAGAGATTAATTGTGAAATTATGAAACTTAATTGAATTAACAGGCAAAAGATATTAATATTAATTAAGTTCTTTCGCAATTGGCAATTCGCATGAAATATATTGCACAAACACATATTTTTATTATTGTTTTAAGACGCAGTTGAAAGTGAAAAAATAGACGCGATAACATGATTATTAGACTGTTTATTGCGACAAATATTACCCCGTGCCTCAGTGGTCGAATTAGCGAGACGCCCGTCTAGAGTGTAGGGTGGTTCAGGTTCGAACCCTGGCTGAGGTAATATTTTTCGCGAAAAATCTCTTTAATTAGATTATCAATTTCCTACATTTTAAGGTGTGTTTTATAACAAGTGTCGCGTTCGAGCGACTATCGTAGCTCGCCAGATATTTTCCTAAAAGTAAATGGTGACTTTTAAAAATACAAGTCATTCATTATGTGACTCGACGGAAGACGAATCTTTCTGCATACGAGTGAATCTCTGGCTACGTTTGACCTTTGACGATTTTTAACAACTTATTTACCGAAGAGATTTATATGTCATTCAATTGATTCCCGTAATTGTTGCAATCGCGCTCGTACTATCTCTTTCGAACGGTATTGCAATTACTGACCGAGACGAGTGGTGTGATTATTGGTGTTACGTTCAACCGTCGCGCATCGACGCGATATCGACGGAATTGTTTCGCCGTTTTGATTGTTGGATCGTTTTACCTGGCATTTCTCGCGCTGCGCGGAGACTCGATAACGCGCACGTATTTAATTTGTTCGTTAAAGCTTAATCTACACTGAGAGAATTTTCTCTTAAAATTTACCCTGAAAATCGTATAATCGTGAGACAGTATGGTATTTTAAAAAACTTCCTGGGAGTTTTTGGAAATTTTACCAGTAAAATGCATGAATATTTCACAAAGCTCTCGTAAAATTCTTCGAAATGCCGTATTGTCTGTATGAGGTTTTTGATATTTTACTAGTAACATAACATAACATAATTCTTTATTGATCCTCTATGGGGTTACAATTTTTCTTTCAACAGCAATGATATTTTACTAGTAAAACGTAAAAAATTTCAAAAACTCGCGTAAAACTCTTGGAAATGCCGTGTTGTCCCACGATTACATAATTTTCAGGGTAAATTTTAAAAGACAATTCTCTCCGTCTAGATAAGATTACTCATTATAACCCTTTCGTGACGAAAACACTTTCTATTTTGCAACGTTTGTCGACACAACATTTCTTACGGCATGCACGCTGGATCCTTTTAAATCTTGCACTTGTGTGTCCCGCCGATCGTGCAAGGGTTAAGAGGAAAGATCTCCAGGTTGGGTCACGCCTCGTTCGGACTCCTCCTTCTGGCGCGTCCCTTTAAAATGCCTCTTTCGCTTTGCAGATGTATGTGCTCGAGCGGGTACACCGGGCAGAACTGCGAGAGCGACTACATCCCCTGCGATCCGTCACCGTGTGAAAACGGAGGCTCGTGCCATCAGCTCGGCGAACATGACTACGAGTGCATCTGCCCCGAAGGTGAGTGCCGCGCAAACTTTTTACCCCATATCGCGCCGTGGAATCTCGCCGCGCTATGTACCCCCCCTCCTCGTCTCTTTCCCTCCCGCGATCCCGCGAAAGATGAAACTTTTTCGTATCAACACGTACGATCTCCCCGTGTATCTCGTTTGTTCCTCCGTTTTTTTTCCCCCCCAACCTCGCTCTCCTCTCTGCGTCAGAATTACCTCGTCCAAGGTAACAGGAATGACAGCGGGATGAATCTACGCGCCTCGGAGACTTCCACCGTCTCTTCGGAATATTGCGATCCTATGATCAGTTACAGTTACGTGGAAGTACAGACGACTCCTCCGGGCTTATCCTTCTTCCTCCTCTGCCGCTCGCTTCCGGAAAGAGAGAGAGAGAGATAGAGCTCGTAATGAGTGACTTTCGTTCTCTCCCCCCGTTGTCGAGAAACGCCAAATCCCGCGGTGTCCGCGAAAACCGTGTCCGAAGACTTTTCTCACGGCCGTGGCTTTTTGCCCTCGACAATCGCGAGGGTCCGCGTGCGATATTTCGGGGAACAAAAAGTCCTTGCCGGTCCAATTGCGATCCGCGTCCTGTTAATTGATCGCGAGATTCGGGAAGGGTCTGTTTTCGGGAATTCCCGCCGCGCGTTCCACTCTGTTTACCGCGAGCAAGAGGCCTCCCCTTCGCGCCCGCCGCGAAACGATCTTACCCCGAGAAAAACGCCGAGGGGGCGGAGGAAAAGGCCGGGAAGAGGAGGACAAAGGAGAGCTCTTCTTCGCGCAGGGCAATGATTACCCGGCGCAACAGGTACAGACTTGGGCCAGGGGTGGCCGAGACACGGCCATTTACGTGCGTGTGTACACGGTGGATGGTTAATGTAAAGCCTAGGGTCAGCCTAGCGTGGCCTCCTCGCTCCCCCGGGTTACAATGCGTGGTCCTCTTTTTCCCAGGCGGACCACAACCATGGCGACCCCACCTTCTAGCGCGTCCGCTTCTTCGTTCCCCGCGCCCACCTTGCCGGCGCGTCTTTTCCCGTTAAAGAAACGCCGAGTCCCAACCTTTGCGCAGGTGCTTCTTTGTTATTGATTCTTACGTGCGTGCTTTCTGCTACTATTTTGAGCGATGTGTTAAGCCAACGGCACACGGTAGTATCTTACCTACTGGATTGAGTCACCTGATTTAAAACTCTGCACCCTGATTGGCTCTCGTAAGCAATCCAGGAGGAAAGATAGTATCGCGTGCCGTTGGCTGTACACGTCGCTTGAGGCAACGCTGTAAAGTGCAACGTACGTGTAATGTTATTTTTGTCATTTGTCGTTAGCAGTTTGAGATTTTCACTCGCGCGAAATATATCTTTGCGAAATATACGCGATACGAATCTGTTCGCGCGAGTCAACATTTTTGATTCTACGTAAAAATAACTTGTTCACGCCTGAAAATTCGAGCGGGAAGAATCGTGCCCTTCGAGAACATTGCTGTTATATTAAATGTAATCTCATTACATTTGCTCGGTTTGCTAAGGTTTGCTTGGTTCCATTTGCTAAGGTTCCTGGTCTCTCTGCTGGAATTGTTGAAGGTGAGAAATGACACGCTGAGAATTCTCGCGTTACATTTTCGAAGGAAAGGATGAATTTTCAATTGAAGATGTAACCGGAGAATTCTCAGCACGTCATTTTTCGCCAAGAAACAACTGCAGAGACTGGTATAGCCTTAATCGAATTTCGGTTTATCGCGCGCTCATAAATAGATATCTCTGGGAAATGAAGAGGAGTAACAAATTGAACGTTGCAGGCGTATTTTACATAACTTCGTTCATCAACGTGCGCTGTTGCCAAAGTATATTTTGCGATATTACCATTAGAGTAAAAAGTGCGCGTGTTCGTTTCGGTAGGCATCTGCTTAAGAGGCCCCCGGCCGAGGCCACAACCCGAAGAAACCGGCGCATAACTACACGCACCGCGAGGCTTTTATTTCGATCATCCTCTTCCCGGTCGTTTCGCCTCCTCGAACGGGGCCGCGGAGCGGGGCCGCCCGTCATTATCGTCTTCTTCGCTCAGGGCGACGCCTTCCGCACGCTCCTGTAAAACGCATCGCCTCGCGTTCTTCCTCATCCTTGCTCCGTGACACTCCAATAAGTCGCGAGGATCGAAACTCGCAGAAGGCGTGCCCCGGTCATGGACCGGCGATCGTTAACGCGCTCGAGAAAACTGGCGGCGCTCGGGGATCGTACGGATTCATCCCCCGGTCGGTCGCCAGGATGAGACCATTCTGGACCTTCTCGCCCGTTGCGTGGAACCGCCAGGCTCTCTCAGTTGAGGAATTTCCTTTTAGTCCCGTTCCCGTACACATTACCGCGGTAAGATTCCCTTAATTTTTCTCCAGGTTTGGCAAAATCGCACATATTTTGGATAAAGTCCATGCCAGTGGTATAAACCGGCAGCTAAATATTAGCGGTCCATATTTTGCAACTGAAATTTAATTGCCACGTGCAGTTTTTAGCTACGGCAGCTACACCTTTCCTTGCCGTGTATAGGCACATGTCCGGGCATTGGTACTTTTATCTTACTTACTCTCGTGACTTTTACTTCCCGCGGGATAGTATACTGGTAGGATAAATGCTCGGACGGGCTCGAAATGATTTGCTCGCGTCGTTAGTTGCAATGGTTCAATTTGCGGCGGCATAGCTTGCGCGCGCTCTCTGTCATATTTCCTCCCTCGTTTGGCGTTCCACTCATTGTCGATTTCTTCTGCAGCTGACGCATCGGCTCTCAGCCCTAGTTACGCGTTTTTGCTTGCCCCGTGTGCGAAGAAGAGCTCTTCGCAGGGCTGAGAGTTCGTAACTATCCCCGGCAGGATTCTCGGTGCAGGTTAGAGTCGATTTGGTCGCTTAGGTAGTCGTAATGGTTCAATTTGCAGAGCAGCCCGCTCTCCTAACTCTTATCCTCGCCTTGGCTTTTCTTCGTGCCGAGCACGAGCCATCTGTGCCGCCCTCGTCTCTCGTTGCTTTTCACTCCAACACGGGTTGCTCCACTCTGTCTCGATCATCACGCGACCGGCCGTCTCCTTCCTAAGGACGGTCCTGCCTAGTAAAGGATTTCCCTCCTCGAGCGATCCGATCACGCCTCTCTTCCATTCCATTCCGCTAATTAGAAACTGCTCTATTGAGCGCCGGTTAAACGATTAACCGCGCGCCCGTAGATTAATCAGTCGAAAGAGGAAGGAAAGACGATCCCCGAGTGAAGAAAGGGAGATGGAAGGGGAGTGGGCGGGGAATAGAAAAGGAGAGAGAGAGGTGACTTGGTTCCCTCTCGGTCTGCAACACTCGTCTTTCAGAGCCAGAGACTGAACTATCTCGCCGGTCTAACGTTTCCTTCGTTTCTTTCTCCTTCCGATTCGATCATTACACATGTAATACGCACACACACACATATGCGCGCACGTGTAACCACGTACGATGATATAGAGCGAACGAATCGAAATGGGAGAAAGAGAGCGAAGAAGTCTTGTCGATTGATCGACCGCGACGATTGTGCTGGCTGGCTCAGCTTGTGAAGTTCTTGCGGAGGAATTAAATCGTCGGTTTTATCCGCGCCGCGTACCGCGACGACCCGCAAGAAACTCGAATTTATTGTTCAAGTTGTACTTTGTCGGCACCGATAGAGAATTGAATAGTCTCGCGAGAGACGGTGCGTGCTTCCGTCAATGCTCTCACACCGATTAATTTGTTGATCCATTTCTTGTCATCTGCAGTGGGGGGGGGGGGGCTGTTTCCGAATATTATTTTCTGCACTTTAAACTCGCTCCGTAATGATTTTATTATCCATTTTATCAGTGATAATTTGCGAATTATTAACACTAGTTTTTCTGTTGAGAAACGATGGTTTGCGACGAGATGCCTGAATATTTTTTTATAGCGAATTAATTTCGTGAGAAAAATTTGAAATTTTACATCGTTAAAATAATTGTGTATTAGGCACATAAATTCTTACGCGATAAAATTCTATTTTTATTAATTTACTACGTTATAATATTTTCTATCATAATTGTAAATTGTACACTGAAAATAAAAGAATATTTAACGATCTTAGATTGATGAGTTTGATAAAATAAAGATTCTGCTCAAGTTCAGATCTCAAAAATATATTTATATACACAATTGCTTGTCAATCAAAAGAGAAGCATTTTATTTCTACGAACGGACCGCCATCTCATTTCTCGTAATAATTGTGACAGAGCTATTACAGGCTGCGCTAATTGAAATCAAGCAAGTTTCTGCGTCCGATTGAATCGATCCGTTTTACCATAATCGGATCAATAGCTGATTAATAGCTCGCACACCATATAAGAATATCAACTTAGAAGATGTGATAAGGTAGAACCATATCACGTATTGCACGTTTTCGCAAATATTTTTTACCTCTAATTTTTACACAACATTTCCGCGTGCTCTAAAAGTAAATTATTTTTGCCAAAAGAACTTACTTTTTGGTCATAAAAGCTGTCATTGCGTACCGTCTACATATAGACTGTACATAAGATAATTTACATACTCTGCATGTAAGCGTAGAATATTGTCCGTATGCGTGAATGGCCAACACATTGGGATGCATTGAGGAAGAGCGGGGTGGATGCTTGTCCGTTCTCGGGCTGATTTATACCATTGGGCGGGCATAAAGTGCGTAGCACGGCGATCGGAGGATCGACGAAGGGCCGGAGAAGGCAAAATTTGCGAAATAAAGTGTGCGTTTGTTTCTTCCTTTCTCCTTTCTACGGCGAATTGTTGCGCAGGGTTTATGCGACAAAAAATATTTCGAGGATTGAGGGAAACAGAAGAACAAAAGTCAAGTGAGGGAAGGCATTCGTTTCGATTTTATTTCATAATTTTATACGCATTTAAAGATCCCAAGAACTTTTAGACTCATTTTAATACGATCAGTTTTTCACATGTGTAGACAATACATTTTACAACTGCGTGTGAAACTTTTGGAACAAACTTTTTTGATGTCAACTTC